GTCTTTCTCAGCACCTCCCCTCCAAAATCCTGCATTCTTCTTGTCCCAGAAATGAGATCTTTTCCTTTATTTCAGCTACAAGACTCCAGCAAAACCCGATGGCGTTAACTATATCCGGACAGATGATGAGGTAACAAATGGTCTGCATTTAACATCTCTCTGTTTAGGAGAGGAAGAGGGTGGGCAGAGGACTGCTAGGTTTTTTAGGGCCTATAGATTTTGTTAGAGTGGGTACCACTCAGGAGCAAGGATGTAGAAGAGAGAGAAAACAGAAGGGCGAAGGCTGAGTCATTTCCGTAGCAATGATGAACAGTGTAAGTTGCCGTAAGTGACTGATGCCCAGAGCTATCAAACGCAGCTCTGCTCTGTCTCAGTTATCTTATGGCTTGACCCCCTTAGGATGAGTTTCATTGGATTAAGTGGGCAGGCCATGATGCTTTTACAAGAGAAATTGCATTTTGGGATTTGAATAGATCACTAAGCTTAAGATCAGAAAAAGCCTCTCCCTATTAGCAGAGATACCCAAGAGGGAATGAGAAAGTCCCCTGCCATGCCGTGGTACGGGAGGAGGACAGTAAGAGAGGGAGCAACTCGGCCAGTACGACTGGAGTCCCCCTCTCCTTACTGGCTGGAAGGGGGTGCTCCCTAGTCCGAATGCCAGAAGCTGTACAGATCAGACCTACCTTTCACAGGCATGTTGTGCTTGGGGGCAACAGGAACAAAGAGTTGCCTGGAAAGCCACGAGATCCCTCATACATCCAGAACTGTTTTGTTGCAGGGTGACTTCAGACACAAGTCTTCGTTTGTCATTTAAGACGCCAAAAGAATATTTGCAAACCAGCAAAAGCAAGTGTGAAAATACCTCCTCCAGGAACTCAAAGCAAGAGCAAAGGATGAATTAAGTGCGCTTGGAAGAGTTTGGAACACACAAGAACTTGATAGCTAGCTATCTGTATATCTTTTTTTTCTTTGCCAAAGTTTAAAGTAACTCCTCACTGCCCAACTTGCGTCTCCCCTGCCTCCGGAGATACCAACAGGATCACCTAAACCTGTCCTTGGACTAAGAAAGCGTTTTAATACTTCCCAAGAGACTGGGCTGTGGAAGTTCGTGGAATTGCCTTCTATTTGTGCTGCAGGGACACAGCCACAATGTGCAAACCAACCAGCGTTAGGTAAACGTGTAGTAGACATTACTAGTACAAATTACTAGTAGACAAAAAAGGTGCTGATACGGCAATAGATGGACTTCAAAGAATAAGATTTATCCATGCAAGGGGGAGTCTTCCTCTCAGCAGCTTGTTGCCCAGGCCTGGCTGGTGACTTTTTACACATTTGTGATAGTTTTGTGCTTTTGACTCTGACTGCTCAGGTGCAGAACGGGGTATCTGAACAGCCTCCGGGGACAGATACCGATACAGCAAACACAACTAATGTTCTCAGCCCTGTTGGAAAGTTACTGCTTTCTCGTTACTCCGTTTAACGTGAAACACGGGCAGCATCAGGCCAGAAGGATTGCTGCTGTTCACGGCTTTGTAGAAAACTCATTGCACGCAGGTAACCCCTCATCCTAATCTGCACAAAGCAGGCTTGCCTCTTGTGTCTTTTGGTGTTCTAAAGAGGCTTACAGTGGAGGCAGAGAACCTAGTGCTAAGACATCCCTTTCAGGAAAATTAAAGCCAAATACTTTAAACATGGGCTGAGATTGCCATAAAAGGTACTGAGATATCTTCAAGCTTTTTTACCTTCTCCATTTATTTTGTAAAATCCCCCATTCTAAATTTTTTGCAAAGATATATTTTGATTACTTCAGAAAAGGTAACATTTCTATTTAAAGTGTAAATACATGATGCCAGCAGTGTTTAAGCAATGTAGCTATTTTTTTACTTTTTAAGCTACAGAGAGGAGCTCAAACATTGCTATAGTATGGCACTGCCAGAGCATATCAGTATTATTGCAAAGTGTAATAAAAAACTGCAGGTGGAACAGCATCTCTTTCCTCTTAAGCTAACTTGAGCAATTTCCTTGTCACAAGAGGTCTTACCAGACACAGAACAGAGTCACTCAGGGATAGTTTTTGTAAATTTATGGCAGGAGCTGTCAGCTTTTTTATATATAAAATTTACTGTTCTTGCCAGTGACCAACACTTTGGTTTTTGGTGTTGCAAGAAATATCCAGGGATGGCTTTTTGGATGCAGTTCCAACAAGGTGACAGAGTGACTTCCATGTTTGCTACCCCTCTGCAAGTTCCCTAAAGCACTAACACAGTGTGACAGCTATGGCAACTTTACAGGTTTAAACTGCATAGCCAAGGCAACTGTTTCTGGAGCTGGGAAAGCAAAAGCTCAATACAAAAGCACTTTTGTAGTGTCAGTTGCAACTTTTCTCTAGGTGGTAAAAGAAAAATGGAAAAAAAAAAAAAAAAGAAAAATTAGTTCTCTTGGCTTTAGAGAGAATAATTGGAAACGTGTTTCTCAAACATATATGCTGATAGTGTTGAACAGCATTGGGTGATATAAGACTGCAAGATGTGGATGCAACACTAGAACTGTGCTGTGGTTTAAGAATTTTTTTTAATGTAGCATAATTTAGTGTTCTTGTATTTCCAATATGGATTGAGTTGTCTTAACTTTTCCTGTATACAGTATTTTGGATACTTGACGATTTGGACTGTCAGTGTTATTTTTTAGTCTTCTGCATTAATCTGCTTTGTTTCCTAGGGGCCTCGCTGGACATGCCATTGCTGCATTTGTTTTGCCTAAACAAAGTGTTACCCCTTTTCCTTTTGCTCATGAAAGTAAAAATAAGGATGGGGCAGCAATAGCCACACGTTCTCTGTGTAACTCGGATGTTACCACTGCTATCTTGCAGCTACATTATGGTTACCTTCTTAAGACATGCTCTTCAGCCAAGCCACACAGTACTGTTCACTGGCTGCACGCTGCCTCTCATCATTGTGACAGTAGTGAGTGTAACATTCCTTTGCACCTTCTGTATATCCACTACTCCTTTTCTATGCTGCTTTTAGGATACCTGTAAGAAGGGAGAGAAAGAAAAGGTTGGAATCAGGGTAGCTCTGGGCACTATGGGAGCACAATCTACAGTCTCACCATGAGCCAAAGGCAGCCTTCACGTGAAAAGCCAGCAAGCTAAGAATCACGACTTGTTTTTCAGTTCTAAAATGTGACAGTGGCATTTCTAACGAGAGAAGGGGAGATGATCCCCCGATACAGCTCATGAGATCCAACTGATGGAATTCATTGTATTATGGTGAATAATATTCAGGTTTGTACTAATGTATTACGTTTAACTTTGCCAAGAATGTTTTACATAAATACCAAGCTATAAAGCATTCTTGTAGGGTTTTTTGTTTGGTTTTGTTTTTTAAACAGCCATGTTATTGGAGACTTATTTCAATTCAGTGAAATAAGGGAAGGTCTGTTCTGTCAGAGCACTCGGTTACTTGTATCGGGCTGAAGGTTACAGAATGTCCAAGGTCTGTTGCTGTTTATCAGTTTCTTCTTGGGCATTTGTCTATCCCTGGTTCTTCTCTAGAGAAGACACATTAATGCTAACAGGGCTCATCTCAGTACTGCTCAAGGACAGAACAAAAACTGGAAAAGCACAAATTAGGAAATAAACTATCCCAATTTACCATTCCAAGTGGTTAAATAATATTTTAAGGCAGGAGAGAAAGTACTAAATAAATGGATGTGGCCATAACTGACGGTTGCTTAAGCTAAAGCCATTCCATATGTCCCGTTTCCCAGTTTTGACTTCGATTTTGAAAATAAAGTTTAACTTTACTTAAAGGTTGTTCTGATCCTAAAACAGAATAGGACAAGCGAGGGCAAATTATGGGATTCCGGTGCAGGAGGTAAGTGCCTCTGGAAGGGCTGTGGCTAAAGCACACTCAGCCTCTTTGTTTCCACTTGTGCAGAACAGCTTACTCCGTTTCTGTTGTTCATGCCTGAATAAGACAAACCAGCATGAATGAAACAGATTCCATTTTCAAGTTTGAATGAAATCTAGGGCAAGAGCTCTGTAATAGAAGTTACCAACAGAAAAACTTCAGTTAGGTTAACACAGCCTCAGAGAGGCTCAGGAATGGTCATATTCCAGCATTTACACAGCGTGTTTACGACAAACGAGTGAGCTGCACAGAGCAGAAAGCTATGCATATGACTTACCAATCTTGATTTTAGTGAATTACTCATATCCTGCTTGCAGTCAAGTAAAAGTCTATATTTAAAAGCTGCTGGGTCCAACATTAATTGAACTGAGTGCCTAAGATACCAGCGACACAGTAGAAGAGACTTTGAGGCTGTAGAAATCTATAGAAAAAAATAATTTCTCTGTCAGATCAAGAAGAGAGGAGAAGCTGTGGGTGGAATTAATTCTGTAACCATTTATTTTCATAAAATGTTAATAGTTGGAAATAACATAGTTCAAGAATGGAAATATTCCATATAAAAGAACATTAAGCCTGTTCATACACACAGGAGTTTGCACAACAAATAAGAGGTGATGTAGTGTGCAATTACCAGATTTGGGGGTGTGGCAGTGACAAGCTGTTTTACCTTTGTTCAAATTAAAGCAACTCCAGTATATAACCAAGAGGGACAATGAAGGATCGAGTGAATAAGCTGAGCCACTCACTTCCCTGCAAGCTGCGATAAATTGCGTTTATTGCTAAGCTTGTGGTAACATTATGCTCTTACTTTTCCAAATGGACAAATTATACATCCTGTGAGTGGAGAGCAAGCCTCCCTTTATACTGCAGCTTTCCAGCACTCCAGTGAGCTTTGTCAACAGCGGCAGCTTGTAACACACACGTGTTAACGCAGGCTTTGTATGCCCCTGTTCTAGACAGCTTCATGTAAAAACCAAGGAAGAACAGACAAGGAAGGAAGGACGTGTGCCCACAATGATGCACAACGAGAGAGGAACAGGACAGACTTCAGGCAACGTGACAACTCTGTACAACAGTTCAATGAAAGGGTCAGTTGTCTGGTTTCAGTGGAGTTCTGCGCTGGGACCGTCTCAGAGGGACGCGCTGGCTGCTTTTTTTCCTTGCTGGGGATTCTACTTTCCACTCCCGTGGCAGGGACAGGCTAGAAGGAGGAAGCAGAATGACCATTGATTTTAAAGCACTTTACCAGTCTTTCCCACTGTGATTGCTGTTTCAGACCTGTGTTGAACTTACGGTTTCTCCAGTGATGTCAAACAGATAATATCTCTTGGCTCGTTCTCAGCCTCTTTCTTCTCTGCAAATAATGCATGTATTTTCATATTTTAAAAAAATGCCACAGATATGATCATTTGGGGTTTTTCTCCCCCCTCGAGTTAGAACCACAAAGATAACTTGCCTGTAGCTGAACCGGGTGTGTGCGTCAAGCTGATGCAACTGACCCCAGCACCAAAAGTCAAGTCATTAATGGTCTCTGAAAGAAAAAGCACACATTAGCAGTCAGCTTGTGACATAGCCAGAGGGCAAGGCATGCTGTAGAAGGCTTAAGTGTCACAGAGTAAGTATACCCAGTTAATTGCAAGCACATACACGTCTCTTTTCCAGCCCAGCAGATATCAGTGTCTCCCATTCAGCCTCAAAACTTTATGCTGCATCTGATGGGCCATCTGTGCACATCAGCTTCATACTCCAGACTTACAGCCTTCCTTGTATGTAGAGGAAATTAATTTAAATGTGGGACCTTAGCCACGTGCCTCCTTGTCCTACCGAGGTGGAAGTGCCACACCTTCCACTGAGGCTTTGCCATCTTTCCCAACAACGAGCTAGATTCAGATGAGTTGCTTTGCATATCAAGGCAGAACAGGGGGCCTCTGAAGACCGACAAAGGACCTGAACAGCCCTTCCGTGAGGAACTACCAGCAGCCAGACAGGGGGAATCACTTGACAAGGAAGCTAGGCAGAATTTAGTTTGACTGAATAGTCCATAGTTGTCAGCTGTCTCCTTCCTACCATTTATCTCAGGAGAGATGTCACAATATTCAGATTTTACTTTACTCAGTGCTCTGTTTTATGCTCATGTTTCCCAGAATCTTTCACAAGGAATTAAGGCAGAAAGTGCTTTACAGGGCAGGAGTTGGAAACTCTGCTAAAAGGACTTCTCCCTACAGACTAACTGGGTTTGCTCTTGAACTACTTCCCTATCCTGGAAGGGAATCACTGAGGCTTGTAGTGGAAGCCCAACTTGATCCATCTGCCTTAGCTGGCCTCGGCATCTCTCAGGACAGACCTGCAAGTGTCCTGACTTTGTGCAGTGTGTGCCTTAACAAGTTACCTTGGTTAATGAGAAGTTGATGTGAAAGGAAGGGAGGGAGGAAGCAAATGGTCGAGAACTGTCATCAAGTAGAGCTTCCCATGCAATCAAATCAAAGGTGGTATCTTCACAGCATGTGTTTATGCACCACAGTGAAGCAATCCACGCTTGCCCAGATGCACTTAGGCGTTCTCAAATTAAGGAGCAGGAGTTGAGGACACCCAAAGACAGCAGGGGAGAGAGTGACAGCCAGAACAGTCGAATAAGGTAGAGAGAAGAGACAGCTGTTCTTAAGTACAAAATGGTTTACAAAGACTGCATCTCCAATAGCTTTAGAATGTTATACCAGAGAAATAAAAATGTTTTATTTTGATTGTCTATCAGCCTGTGAGACCCAGCGCTACCATGCAGATGGCTCAACACACGCTAACTGAAGCGATGATACTGCTCTGTACAGTTTGTCTCCCTGCTGAAGGACACGTGCTGCCTCGAAGCAAAGTAGGAATTCAGCCCTGGTACCACTGCAGATTAACGTTCTTCCTCCTTTTTCACCATATGGTCCTTAAGAGAAACAGCCGTGCGAGCTTCCAGACAGAGATATGGTGCTTAAAGATTTCTGCTCTCTAAAAACATGCCCCTTTTTTTTTTTTTTTTGCACAAAGATCATTGCTTGTTGCTCAGGCAGCAAAGAGAAACATCGAGGCAGACAAATCTAGCCAAACAGCGGAGCATACAGGGAAGAGAAGGGTCAGATTTTCCAGTGGATGCACATCACTGCCGCTGGTTTGCTCCTGCCTGCTCACGGATGTCAGGTATTTGCAGACTGCCTTATCAGCCACGTGTTGTTTGCTCTCCTGTGTGCATGCAGGTCAGGTGTTTGCACAGATACAAGCAAAGAGTGCAGTCAGATACCTGTGCTTCTGGAACACCGACCCTTCCCCGCAACAATCCACAACTGCCTAATGGCAGATGACCTGTCAGACGCTCACCTACACTCCCACCTTAACTGGAGCTGTCTCCAGAGCGCGTGAGGGTGTTAAACCACACCCACAATTCCACTGCATTGGAGATGCCCTACAGGAGTTCAGCAGCGAATTGACATAAAGGAAGGGAATCTGCTGCTGGAACTCGGCTCCATTTGTGTTTCGCTCTAACTGCCTCCTGCGCTTGGAGAAAGGGACACTGCAGAATGCTGCGGGGCTGTCAGAATGCATTCCAACAAAACCCAACTTTGTAAAGGTCAGGTTTTGTGAGATGGCAATTCAGCTGCAATAGACATAAGCACAACAGACTGTCACAATTTGTGTATTAGAGATTCTTCTCTGTGAGTTTTTACTTGAATTTTCACAGCAGAGTCAAAAAACCACATCATTTCTTCTCCAATGCTCAGTTCAGTTCTTTCTTAGGGTAGAACACACACACACTCAGAAATGACTGTGCAGTTACTAATCCCACTTAAGAAGATCTCTGTGTTCTCTTGCAATTGTCACAGCTCACTGCCTGCTCTAGAAGCAGGTCATAGCTCACCTGACATCCTTTGTTTGGACAACAGGAACCCCCTATCTTAGAGCTGAAAAGTATTGAGTATTTCCCTCTGCAGCAGAGGTCTGTTTCAGTCTAAAAATGCTTTCAGAGTTAAGGACAGCAAGTGTCTCAGTGCAACAGAATCTTGTGCACTTCAGGCAATGCATGCTGCTAAGGAACCACAACAACGTGCCTCCTTGGCATCCCAGGGTTAATGAGGAAGAAAGGGCAGTAGCTCTGTTACTTCAGCAGCCCAAAAGAAATGCTCTCCTGCACTGACTCAATACTGTAACACCCTGTGACATGCACACAGAGACCCTATTGGACTGTCCTTTCCCAGGTACATCATTCATCTGAGACCTTCAATTTCAGAAAGGTTCTTGCTTACTACAACCATTTAGATAAATAAATAATCTATAGCTCTCAATGACTAATTTTCTCTGCTTGTTAGGGTAGCCATGCATTGCTACCTCTCAGGGAACTCGTGCTCAGCCCAAATTGGAAGGGGTTCCTGTGGATTATGCTTACGTTCTGGTGTGCTGTTTGCGCGGCCCATCACAGAAACATTTTCTCCGGCAGACTGTTGAATGAGGCTTTGAAAGGATACTGGAAATAACAAGGAAATAATTAAGAACAGAAATGTATTCACTCAGAGACCTAAAGGGTCTAGCAATCAGGCTGTGTCAACTAGATCTAGTCCAATTCCAGACCAGTTTGCAGCAAGCTTCCTACCTCGCTTACTGCTAGCTGTGCTTGATGGAAGTGATACAGCCGACAAACTTTCCCCGGCACTCTTGCTGCGCTGCTTGCTTCTGGCTTGCATTGCTTTCTTGGCAGAGTTCAGGATGGCAAGTGTGCTCAAGGATGGTGGCCTACAGGGCAAAAAACATGACAGAAGCAGTGAAGTGACTTCCTTCTGCAAGCCCAGAGGAGATGCATGTAACAACGAGAGACCTGTCCTCTCCCAATCTCTTATGATCTTTAACACCAAATGTAGGAGAGATTATGCTGCAACACTGGTGACTTTGATACCACTAGGTAAGGAGTGGAGAAGCAAAGCAATAGCTCTGCAGAATATCGCAACTGGTAACATAAACAGAAACTCCTACCTGTGGCCGAGTAACGGCTGTTTCAGAACATCAGTGCTTGGTGTAGTAAACTCAGAAGGCACAGAGGAAGCACTTGATCCAGGTGGCAAGGAGTGTCTCCTGCTTACAGGAGACTGAGCATTATTATTCCAGCCACCAGAAGGTACAGCTGCCTCCAAAGATGGAGTTTGCTACAGAAAAAAGGAGAAAAGATCATATGTCAAACAACGGATACAAATGTAGAAAACTCTAGATACAAGACACTTAGAACTACATGCTGTGTGAGTAAGAACTGCCCTTTGCATGACAGATGTAAAGGGTGCTAGGGAGAAAGAACTTACTGGCCAAAATTTTAACAAGCAGCAAATAGGAAGTCTTAATGGGATACATATGTCCTAGTTTAGAGGTCTATAGATAGGTGCTCTTCAAAGTCAGCAGAGAGAGAAAGGTACTTCCAGGGTAGAAGTCATCTCATCTTAAGGTAGGTATCTAAAATAGTTCAGGACCGCTGGCCCAAGCACTTATTTCTTTACATTGACTTTAAAAGAGGATCTGCATGGCTAGGACAGATATAAGTTTCTACTCTGTATACACCTAAAGTCAGACAAAACGAACTCTTTTCTTTTTGACCTGTTTATCACTCTGGGAAGAGAGAGCAATATGACGTGTAAGCACAGCCAGTGGCGAATTAGACTTGGTTTTCCCTTTAAATTGAATTCTTTTTACGTTAATCGTTTGCTGCTTCTCTTTGGCGAACGACAATTTTTGTTGTCATTCTAAGAGTATTAAATGACTCTGAAACCAAAGCTTCTGCCAGCAAATGCAAAGAGGTACAAGAACATTACAGAACCATTCTGTTAAAAGGGCTGTAACAAGATCCACAAACATACAGTCTGGGTGTTACGCGTACACAAACTTTTAGTAGAGGAGACAGTACGTGTCCAGAGTTAATGGTACCAACAACCTCTGCCTGCGCTGCCGAGACTTGCTCTTGGTCTGACTCCTTCTCCCTGGCCAGCTGCTCTTCATATTTCTTCATATCATACTCCAGCTCGGCTGCCAGCTGCTTGTCCACAGCAAAGAAGTCTTTGATTTCATTTCGGTAATCTTGCATCATTTCCTGGAGCAATAAGGAATGTTTAAACTCTTTCAGAAATCTCTCCTTACTGATTCATGTCTCCATTCAGATCACAGCTGCTTAAGTGCAAAAGGAAATACCAGTTGGTAGAGCAGAGGTGTTTTTAACAGACTAAGAGTTTCGATTCCAATTTGTACTTCAGAACATGAAAAAGCTTTCCAGCATTCAAGCTTTCTGCCCACGTTCCACTGAGGAGGCTCACACGTAACACACTGCGAGATCCTCATCTAAAATCCCTCCGCCTCCTACGTTATTTAACACAGTGGCAGTGTCACAACATCATATGCCTTCTGAATTTCCTTCTAAGAAGGCTGTTCGTTCCATTA